ATATAGTTATATAATATAGTTATATAATATAGTTATTATATTTATATAATTATGAACACAATTGGGTGAATATATGTCAAGTGTACGATTGCATCCTGTGATGAACTATGATTACAGGCCAACAGGCATTTTTGCCATCCTCCTGAGACACCTATTCTAAGTGCGCTAACCTTTTTAAAAAACAAGCAAACAAAAAACAACCCAAAACCAAAAAGAAAGGTGAGTCAGAGACACAAAGGTGATGGCAACAAAAACATTTAAACCAGGCAACCAGTAAGAACTACCACATATTGGCCGTTCAGCCATTTGCTGAAAGCAAGGTCACAGGAGCATGTATCCTGTAAAATGAAAACATCCTACAATTCTGTCCAATGTGAACCAAAAAGGTTTCTAAGCCCTGAAATTTAAACTTTTTCCAGTGTTAGTGTTGCACTTGGAAACCAGCACTGTTCTATTTCAACACACTGTTTTTTTCAGTCACAATATTGGAAACACGCGGAAGTGGCAAAAAACATCCCAGTTTTGAGCAGGAGAGTTACAGGAAAGTGACATCTGGTTTGAGGAACCGAAGAATCTGGACCAGCAGAGAGGTGGTCGGGGACTGCGGGAGCCATTTCTGTGTTTGGATACCAGTGAGGTACTTCGACCACAGTTTCATAAACAATTCAGTCCTGCAGTGTCAGCAAAAGAAACATTCTCATCTTCCCCCCATCCTGACCGCTTGTTTCATCCCTTGCGCACCCTTCCTGCCTTGTGCTGGCAAAAGTGTTTGTGTAGCCATGCAGTGAAGCCAGCTGGGGAGCTGGTCCAGGCTAAAATTACTCTTTTTTTTTGTCCCTCTCCCTGCTGGTTCCTCTAACCTTGGTCAGCCCACCAGGGATGAGAGGAGAGCAGAACTGGCTCTTTTGGCAGTGACGCCAGCTTATAGTATTCATGAAATCACTGTTTCAGACTGCTTGGTATAGCCGGACCAGAGAAAATGCAATTCTTCTGACTGCTATGAAGGTAGGTAGACAAACCAATGTGTCATGTTATACAGCAACTAAATACCATTATGAATTGTGGTGGGAGAAAATGTTCGTACTTCCATTTCCCAAGGAAGGAGAAGAATATGGAGGGACACCAAAGTTGCAAAACCTTAGAAACGCTCCAGAAGAGGGCAGCAAGCCTCCTACAGCCCTAACAGCGATTGCCTGTACCTGTAACCTGGTGCCTACAAGTAAGGAATCACGTTACCTGAATAGTAAGGAAGAACTCTGTTTTGAGCATCTGACATAATTACAGATATGCAAGTGAAACTGACTGTTCCACAGTTCAAAAACGATGAAGTGTATTAAATAAATGCAATTTTAGTTGCAATGTTTGAGCCTGATGCAGGACTTGTTCACCTTGACAAATAATGATGTCACCTGCAGTGCAAGTATATAGATCAGAGAATATGAAACCAGTGGGAAAGCAGAATGAAAGCCATTCTGAAATTTCAGTTTTGGGCCTGGAAAATGACTGGAAGGGGCTGTTGGAACATATCCAGGCTTTCTTTTGCCCCTGATCGATACGTTTATTTCATTTATTAGCAAGTGGTTGGTATAGGGGTTTTTTTTAATGTCCCTGTATCTACTATTTTATCAAGTCTGGTCTATGTGTATTTATAAGATGTGACGCACTTTCATCAAAACAAAGGTTGATGTCATTAAGTCAACATTATACTGTAAAATCACTTAAGAAGAAAAAGGTACTGATTCAATATAGGAGAAAGTACAACCTAGTTGCGCAACACAGTTCTTTGAGTTAATGCAGCAATCTAATATTGCATGTAGTGTTCTTTAGCATTACATTTAAATAAGCAACTCAGTTTAAACATTAAGTTAAAGACAATCATGTCTTATTAAATATGAACGCTTGCAGGCCAGCTAGTAGCAGCCTATTTTAAAATAAAGCATAAATTACTATTTTGAAGCTTCGGTGAAGATAATCATTGGAGCTTCAAGGCTTTGGGCTAATCTGGACATTGGCACACACCTCAAAATACAGTGTGGCTCACAGTCTCCTTTCAAAAAAATTCCTCTCATAACTCCTGTCGAGCTATAATCATAAATGTATGATGCTTGAAGAGACTTACATAAGATGGGTAGTGCCAAAACTACATTTAGCCCATTAAACTCGGATAGTTGCCCAAGTTGTCTTTCCAATTAAAGTCTATGAAGTTCGCTAAAATACCTTTTCTTCCTATTGAAGGCATTAGTAATCCATTACAATGGATTCTTTGATTGTAGAAAGAAAAAAACAAAAAACAAATGTCCTACAGTAACTTATTATGCATTTGCACATCTTGCAGAGATCTAATTAAAAAGCATATATATTTGCATCTGTCTTTAAAATACGAACATGTGCTTACACATACTGCACAAATGCACTGGGGTGCTTATCTGTATATACACGTGTGTATGCACATGTATGCAGCAATGCAGAATTTCAAAGTTATCAGACTGAGTTCAGCTCAGGGGCCTATCTAGCCTATATGATACTCCCCGCTACCACCTTTTCCAATGGTCTTCTGCCTCCCTGTGGTCAGTGACTGATAAAGGTTCATCTGTAATGCCAATCAGAAACTACATCCTAGTTACGCCAGCCCTTTTAGGGAGAACTACATGCCAAACAGATTTTATCTTCTGTAGGGGATACACGGAGTCGTCACAGAGGGCAACTGGGCTTTGCTGTGCAGCTTTGAAGGGAGTTCAGAGGTACGCATCCCCAGCTGACCTTGGAAGACAGCCTGCAAAGAGGACAAGCAACCAGGACCACACTGACATTGGGGAGTAAAAACTCTACTACTCAGCACTGCATAAGGGTCAGAACGACCCCTACTATGATATACTTGGAAAAATAAAGGAAAACCTCATTTTTTTAAGATTAGCCAGGGAAAGGAAATATATATTGTGGCATGGCTAATTTCTACTTGCTTCTCTTTAGCTTTATGCTTTAATAAAGGCAGGTCCAGTTTCGGTTTGGTCTACTCAATCACTGGTCTCACCATGTACTGGCCATCATCTCTCTTGAGAGCTGAATAGGCTTTTCTACTGGCCACAAGTACTACTTGTGACAACGGCAATTCAACATAATGAAAATGAACAATACTGAGCCTAACTCAAAGTGAAGAAATCCCAGTGGGGATTTGTTCAGTGCTTCCTCTTGTTGATTAATGTTGTGGTAGCATCACTGTTACCAAATACCACACCAGAAATCCAAAGGTCTAATTCTCTCTATGGAGTGCCTATTAAAGTCAATTGAAAATTGCTGTATTCTTCAGGAGAAAACTGGCCTCTGAAGAACTGAACAGAAAAAGAATGACTTAAAAATTAAAAGAGTGAGGGAGGCAAAGAACAAGGTTAGTATAATTGCACATTCATAATTGTGTTTCTAATGAAAAAACACAGTGCTTTCCAGAGTGAATAAACCCAAGAAGAAAACAACCCTCAAGCACTTTTTCTACCCTTCAGTTTAGAATCTGCCTGTAATCTTTTCAAGCATCAAGATCATTATTTATACGGACACTCACAGCTAACCGTACCAAGACTGATAGACGTAAGAAGTGAGAAGCTTAATATGGCTATAGTCCTAATTAGGACTTCTCACACAAACTGATAGCCTTATCACTTACTCACATGCTAATCACAGTCTATTTTTAACCCTCCTATCTTCCGCAAAGAAAGTCATATTCTAGATAGTGAGGATACACTAGTTTAAAGTTACATTACTACTATAAAAATGTGTCTATTCTTTGATTTTAAAATAGTCTGTTAGAAATCGATACCTGTTTTGAAAAGCAGTAAGCCTTGCAACTATTGAAGATCCCTATTAATGAAACTTACTACACACAATTTCTTTCCTGTTAACCAATACATAACCAATACAGTGATCGTCCCCAGAGCTATCCCAGTCTTAAGTGCCTCCATTTTATCTCAGAAACTGATGAACACTGGACCCACTTAGCATTTGAGTAAGGACTCACCTAAGAAAGTGGTTAGCTATTAAAGAAAAAAGCATTATATATAATGCATGCTAATGAATTCCACTCAAGACTTTGAGGTTGAAGGAGGGGGGTGGCGGGAAAAGCCCTAAGGAAAAGCTTGACAGTTAAACAATAGAAAAGCTAATAGAAATGGTTCAACAGTAACTAAATAAAATTCAATAGATAATAATAAAATAACTTTACATCTAAATTATCTTAGGAGTACACAGGCAAAACTCCAAAGAACTTCACTGAACTGCCTGTATTTACACAGTAGATAATTCTTTTCAAAAGAAGTTTTAAACATCCAAGGGAATCTAAGCAACTTATTTCACAGTAAAAAGGCTACAGATTTTCTAGCAATTTTCCTTGTAATGATTAATAACCATTTATCAGTCGTCTCCTCCTTTCATTAAATGCTTTGTCAGCACAGATGAGAAATTCCAATCTTCTTTTGGTAAAAGCAGGAGAAAAGGATGCGCACCTTTTACATGTGGAGAACTACGTGCACTTACGCTCTTGATAAGAGCAACCGAGTCCTGACATCGCAACATCCAAGATCAAGCACTCGACAGAGCCACATGTGCATTGCATTACAGTTACCTTGCCCTGATGATCATGTTTCATTTCCCAGCCTCTTGGCAGCTCCAGCTGTTTGTTAGCAAACATGTTGAGGAAGCCCACCAAATCACGATTATGCTGGTAGCGCTCAAAATGGTGGGTGTCCCGCCGGACTTTGGTGATCATGTGCTTCAAACACGTGTTATTTGTAAACATGCGGTAGGCACTCTGAAAATTAAATAACAAAAGGAAATACTTTTAAAAGATAAAATTTCTTCTTACTACAAAAGACAACATTTCCACTGTAAATAGATTATCTAATTGTCTATAAAACCTTAAAAATTACCTCCACGTAAGCCACAACAGTATGAAAAAAATGGTCCTCTTTCTGATGTTTTGGGCTAAGTGTTTGATGTTTCTTATTTTGCTTGAGATATACAAAATTTCATAATTGACTCACTTCAGCAAAGTGTGAAATATATTAGATTCCATTTACCACACTTGTCCCTGGAACTGTGAAGAATCTTGTAACATTAAAATTGCTTTGAAAGTAGTTTCATAGATATTCTCAAATTTCTGGAATAATGAGTCAAATGCAGCCATAGGATACAGCAATAAAGCTGGTAAGGTTTTCTGCAGGACAGAGATACATAAACTTGTAGAACTTATCACAAGTCTACATAAATAGTTTCCACCTATTGATTTTTCAAAAACACCTTATCATTGCATGCCCATGTGTAATTTATGTAATAAAATTAGAGAGTAAAAGGAGATCACTGAGGAACAGGGAAAACTTTAAATAAAAGGGGAAAATAAACAGTTAATGCCCTTCCTTCCCAAAAAACCAGAAACCAGGTCTTTCTCTCAGCATTAGCAACAGACAGAAACCAAGACATAGGCCCTCCTATTGCATTGTGCTGCTACTTAAATCACTCTGTGCCCCAACACCTCTATTCCCTGGCCAGAGGTCTTATCTACCTCCATCCTATTTCATATATTCAAGATAAAGCTATGCAAGTTAAGCAGAATTATTCAGATACAGACAAGCATACATATATATCAAAACCAAACTAACACTGACCAGTAATTTAAAAAACACTGAATTATTAACAAGTGTGCTTACAGACAACAAATTATTCATTCCATTACTTCTGTCTACACTATACATCCCATTACACAAAGGAAAAGAAACATTGAAAAATGAAAAACCTATATAAGAAGCAGGACTGAAGAATAGGCAAAACAGAAAAGGAAAATACATATTAAGATGCTTTTTTGTTCAGTGTGACCTCTAATATGTTTTGATACAAACCAGGTGAGCTGGGAAACAAATCATCCCATAAGCAGCAAAGTGATCTTAAAAAATAAGCATCATTTTCTTTCTCAGAATTGTCTCTCACCCTCTGCAAAGCACAGTAAGAAAGCTATTGCTTCGATAAACAAATGAGAATTTGTATCATAAGAAAGGTGAAGAATTGAGTGAAAAATAAGAACTGTAGAAGCTCTAATGCCAACTAGGACAACTCTGATAGCCCACCAATTGCAAGGAATGATGATGAGTGTCTGAATTTATCCAGCCTCCCTATGCACTACCAATATCTTAGCATCAAACACTGAGCAGTATCTTTGTACGCAAGACAACTATATATATAAGCACGTATTTATAAAAGTCTTTCAGCTGTAGACGCTATACTCACAGGGTTAGAATGCAGCACTGTAAAGAACTCTGGGCTGATAAGGAATTTCACAGGAGGAGACTGGAGCAATAAAGTAAGTCTGGATCTGGAGGTAGAGTGAGGCAGCACATTCTCTCTTCGAAAATCTAACAGCAAAGTGAATGACAAAGACTTCCGGTAATAATCATTACCAAAACATCACTGCAAATGACTATTGATTTGAATCACACAAGCAAGAAAAGCACTAGATATACAATTACTTCAGATTTATTAAGTATTCTTCATAAAAGTGTACCTGAATTTCTTCTAACATAGCACTGAAGTTCCTGAAAATATCACAATTTTAGTTTAGTAACTTTTACTTGTTGCTTTTGGTGAACAATCATTTTAAAAAAAAAAAAACAAAACATATCCAATTATTTGGGTTATCAAACATATGCCTGTGTATAAGATGCAAAAAGGTCCCTGTGGCACGCTTGCATTGCTATACTGTAGCTGTAGGCAGATAAGTTATTTTTTAAATGCTAACTAATGGACATAAAAGTCATTGTACACTTAAAAATGTTTCATTCCTCCTTTAGAAAAACAAACAATAAATCACTGTCATTAACACAGCCCCAATCTTGATACAATATTTAAGCAGCTTATGTAAGTAAGAAACAGGTTGCTAAGGAAGTACCTTTCAAGTTTCAACTTTCAGTAAACATTTGGGTCTTCTCCTAGCAACCGTAGAAGTACACTGATCTTTCAACAGCACCAGGAACCGAAAATACATTATGAGTGGTATTTGCTACGTTGTTAAAACTGTTCCCCCCAATTATCTTTGAAAATCAACAGGACATTTGGATGCATATTTTAATGTAAATGAAAAACTGCGAATTCAGATTGGGTCCGCAGTGATTTTACTCTAAAATGTATTCCATCTTCTACATTTCACAGTTTCTTTCTTTTACATATTGCAGTACCTGCACACTTGCCCACCAAATGAACATTAATCATGTAGAACACAGCTACCATGGATATAAAAGAAAAATAACCCACAGGCAGAGAAAGGAGAAGAGAGGCCGTGAATGAGACTCTAAACTGCGGGAAAAGTAAGAAAAAATTAAAAAAGAGGAGGAAAAGAGCAAAAAGTAAAATTCTAAATATGGATGGGTAAACATTATGGAAAAAGGGGAATGGGGAAGATTCTAAGCATTAGAGGAAACAAGAAAATGGAAGGGTAATAAGTAAAGGAAAAGTAAATGAACAAGGGGATTTTTAGAGACACCTCTTAAACAATAGACCCCAAGCCCTCCCACATGCGGCATGTCTATGGAGTGACAGCAGTGTAGCATAAAGACCCCTGAAGCTATGCCTGAATACTTGGGCTGGGAGCGTCTTCCAGGCATGCACTGCGGTTGCATGTCAACTCTGTACTGGTACAAAACTTGGGAGTACACCAGTCACTTCTCACACCCTGGAAGATGCTGTGACATGCTGCAGAGAGGTCCACTGTCATACTCTGGGTAATCTGGAAACCAGAACGTGTCACCAGGTGGGTTTTTCTTGCAGTTTAGAGGCTTATGAATTTGGTTTATGAAAAGCTTATTCAGATGAACTTGCTGATTAGGGTTTAGCCTGAATTTGCTTTAAACTGATTTGTTTATAGCACAACCAACCATCTAACTGCACAAGGATAGAAAAGGAAAAGGCTAAGGCAGAAGTAAAGAAAAAAAAAAAAAACTGAGCACTTGGCTACATAACAAGTTCTACAACGACTTGAAACTCAAGAAAGGGTGGCATTGCTTGGGTATTAGATTAATTTAGGAAAGAGTTTTATAAGGGAGTATCAAGAGCATCTAGAGACAAAGCCAAAACTATGAAAGGGACTGGATGGGTAACAAACTAACTTTATAAATTATTAGTAAATTAGTAGTAGGAAGATGACCAAGGAGAGAACTGCTTAGCAAGAAGAAAAACTAGTAATGATGCTTAGAGCTCATTAAAAAAGATCTTTCCTTCTGTCCTCATTCAAGAAGTTAGCAATGACCAGACCACCAGAAGAACTAAAAAACAGGAGAAGAAAGAGAACTTTCTTCTTAGGCTAGAATAGGTAAAGAGCAGGTTAAAGACTGTGGTGCAAATCAGAGATTTTCAAACCCTTTGGGCTTGATGAAGTGTACTCTTAGGAAACTAGGTGAAGCAATCTCTGAGACATTGGTGGTTATTTTGGAGGTCTGAAGGAGTTCTCAGAAGAAAAAAAGGGATAAATATTATATCCATTTTTAAGAATAGGTGGACAGCAAGACAGCAAGGTGGAGAAACACAAATAACCAGGATTTCTGAAGAATGAATCACAGCAAACTAATGAAGTTATTTTCTACTACTCGAGTGGTGTAAAGGCCACATATTTTGATGTTAATAAGGCCTTTAATACTGTTTACATGCTACTCTTAGAATCATGTTGGGAGAGAAAATTACCTTAAACATATGAAACCACCTGGAGAGGGGTATGCAGCAGTTTGCAAAAATGTACTGAAGAGCAGTTATGATTTATGTCAAACAAAAAGAGTACACCAAGTGACGTTTCACTGAGATCTGTCTGGGTCTGGTCCTATTCATTATTTCTATTAATGACTGGATAGGGAGGACAGAACTTGCTCAACTAGGAGATGCTGCAGTACTTGGACAGCAGGATGGACAAGATTCAAAATCATAGTGACACATCAGAAAAGTGCAAAGACCTGCGTGCAGGTAGGGATAATCAACTGCACAGACACCAGATGAAAACTAGACATCTGTGCCAAAGATCCGCACACAAGGGTCTGGACCTGATTTTAGCAGATCAAAGACTGAACACTGGTGGTTAGTGTCAAACTATCAGGAAAAAAAGTAATAATTATGCAGGAATGTACAAGGAGTGTTGTACATAAGACACGTGACACTTCCACAGTCTCTTCAGTACAGCAGAGTCATAGCTTTATTTAATTTTCTGAAATATTCCTCAGGAGCAGCAGACCAACTGAAGTCAATCCTGAGGAGGCCAACAAAATAACCGGAGACCTAAAAACACGAGCCACGAGGAAAGACTAGGAAGTAACGTATTTAAGAATATGTTATGAGAGAAACAACATGAATAGACTGTCTGAAAAACTTACAGAATGTCCATCAACTGGAAAACATGTTATAAGAACACATGAGATAGCATTTGCCAAGTATGGTTGAGGTACAGCTCATCCTATCTATCTTCAGCACGGAGATGAAGCCGATGACTGCCCAAAGTCATTTCTAGTCCTATATTCTACCATTTCAAAATGCAGTAGCAGATTCAAAATATTTGTAACACAGATGACACAATTTTATACTTTTTCCACTGCAAATGTCCTGCCTGTATTTTTACCCAGTCAGGTACCAACAGAAAAATGCTCTGAGTCTCACATTCTTCTCTTCAGCGTATAGAGCAGGCTGAGCCATAATCTTCAAAAACTAGACAGCAACGAAAACAAATGGTTTCATTTTCACCCAGGCTTTCAGGGGCAGAAGTTAGGTTCTGCCTTATGGCACTCATTAAATCATCTATGAGATGAGTGCTCCCTTTAGAAAGGGGGGAAAAAAAAAAAATCTTTTTTTTTTAACCTGCATTAGAATGGTGAAAGTCGGTTTCCTCTCCAGCTCCATCCACGGCATTTGTATGCTCCTCAGGCCTATCGTTAGTCATTGTTCTTCGGATGCTCTGGTACCTAGGGTTAGAAAACTGGACTTTATATATAGTATGTGGTAACTATGATCCAATTCTGGCTCCGAGGGAGCTTGCCTGTCTTTTCTGCCATGTAGGTTAATATACATTGACCTCTAATTTCTGCATTAATAGCCTTCTGAATTTCTGAAAACCATTATCAGATTTTTTTTTTTAGCCACATAGATTATGAACACAGGTGGAATACAAAAGCCCTAGAAGCCCACACGCAAATTAAAAGGGACAGCCACATAGAAATAAATACATATGGCCAGCTGCGGTAGCAACTGTGACCCTGTCTTCATACTCAGTCTTACAATGGTGAATGCAGTTTTGCAAGCACACAATTCACAAACAACAAGGGTTAATTCTTACCGGCGATTCAGCTGTTCCATTTGCTGTATGGAATTTGACCTCTGGAGAATCTGTGGGGCTGGAGGGGCTGTGGGTCGCTGCCATGTTGTTGTCCTGTTCACATGGTCCACATAAAAAATCCGTCCATGGCTGTCAATTCGAGCCTCCCAGTCTAAGTAGCAATAAAACACTGTGAACTATGGAGGGCTTGGGGTTTCTTTCTTTATTTATTTTAGCTCTGTCACTTGTGTAACTGAATCTATTGTAGCAAGCTTCTATTTCTCTTTTACAGGATGACTTCAGCACAGAACTTTCTTACTGAAGGGTTAAGAGACATAGCTTTTCCCTATTTTACCCCATAAATCAAATTCCCCACTGTAGTTAAGGTTCTATGGAATCCATATCTAATAATTTCTACTCCTTTCTCTATTCTGTTTACCACTAACCAGTAATTGTCCCAGAAAAAAAAAAAAAGTATCAGAATACTTAGTCTAATTCTCTTGGACTGAAATAATTCAAGATCCTATATCTCTGAGCGTTATTTCCAGTGCAAAAGGCCAATGGGTAAGTACCAAAAACCTTGGAAAGCTTGACACTCATCATTGTTTTTCCCCAGCTAGTAGTAACAGTAATAAAACAGATCTCAGTGCTTTTCCTGGGTTTACATGTACCTATGTTAAAGGTAAGCAGACCTGCCAGAGAAGATAAGACAATTATAACAATCAAACTCCTTCATATGTTCCAGAATTGCCAATTCTGCAAATATCATAGCAAATTCAACTTCTCGTGCAAGCAGTAACTATAATGTTGTCCACTGGTTTTGCAACACTACAGACAATGTTAGAAGTCTAGACCGTGGAGACACACCAGGAGAGCAGAGATGAAGGCGCTGGGACCTTTCCCCAACCACATCTGGCTTCTCAGTGCTCAGCAGAAACCACGTGCATCATAACACCTAGGCCTCAGTTCATAAGCTTTTTGGGTCAGAAACATTGACTGCCTAATAACTGGTTATAAAATGAGCAAGATATGAAGACACTGATCATGGCTGGCGGCCACGTAATAATAATAAAAAAAAAAATCAAAATGTTTTATATACAAAAACAGATGTGCCTGATTCTTGGGCACTAGCAACTGCAGAAAACGTGCAAACCATTTAGCACATCAGTTGAAAAACAGTCTTTGAGAGCTCAGAAGGTTTCTAGAAGAGACTTTCTACATTGCAAGTCTAGGTGGAAACATCAGTCACTGCAGTAACATTTTAAAAACCACTGGCAAGCAACCAATCCTAAATGACCGCTGCTCCGCAAGGAAAGAGGGCATAAAAATGTCTTGACAGCAGAGAAGGAGAACTAAATTCTACTGTAAAGTACTTAATACTGACAGCCTTAAAACCTCAGGCTTTGTTACCGTACGCGTACTATGATTTCTGTCAATTCTTGGAGGCAGCCAAGTGGCTCGCCGCATTACACTGTAGGGCCTGAGCTGACTCACGAAGAGAGAGGAAAGGCGGGTTTTGAGATAAACTTGTTGTGTCATCTCCACACACGACAGCTGTGTATTTTAGCTGGCCACAATGCAAATTACTCTTCTATCTTTATGCTGCACAATAAAAACAGCCTATGAGCGTTTAAAGCATTTCTAGTGTGAACAAGAGCTATGCTGGAAAGTAAGCTCTGAGGAAGAAAAGAAAAAGCAGCACAATCAGGTAGGAATAAAGAGAACTGTTTAAGGAACAAATTTCAATTCCAGGAGAAAAAACTCAAAATTTTGTATTATATTGTAAACTTAAAATCCAAGTTTAAAAATAAACAAAATTACATCAATGCAAAGCTTATGGCGCAATCACTGTACTTGCTATGCAAAATATAACACATTTGAAAGTTATTTTAAAAAAATTTTCATTTATATCTCAAAAAAGCAAACTGAAACATTTCAACATCCTCTGAAAAAATTTCCATTTTTTAAAAAGAAAAAAAATTATTGAAACATGTTCCTGTGCAAAGGTCCCATTTCAAAAAAGTAGTATCTTCTGATGAAATAAAAATACTCAAGATTTTTAACCAGAGTTTGTAATCAAAACAAAACATGGAAGTATTCTGGAGAGGACAGACTTGTTCATTAGGGGAAAAAAAAAAACCCAAACAAACCAGTTTAAATTTGTGAATTCATTATTCTGCTTAAATGTCAAACCCTAAACACTGTATAATAGTTGAGATTTTTCTTGTGGTGATTATATGTCCAATTCTGACACACAGCCACCACTTCTGTAATGTGGTCTTGCAGAAGAAAAGCATTTTTGCCTGCATTCAATTTTAAATACACAAGTTTAAACACTTGGGCAATGGCTTCTAAAGTAAAGCACCTGCATCAGTGTTGTGATGGACAAGGATATCTTCCGTTAGTCAAATCATTGTTAGTAAACGTGTTACAAATAACAGCTTGCTGAATTGCAAAATTGTAATTCATCAAGGTTGTGTGGTCAAGTTTATTTGTTGATTTTTCCCTAGGAATGTAGGAATTGGAGCATAATGTTGCACGTTATAGGCAGAAATATTAGGTAAGTATTTCAATTCTTTCTCTTGTTCTTTAACTTAACCTGCACACAACTGAAAGAAATATACCTTTTTTCTTTCTTAGTTTCAGATTCTGGTGAAACAACAAATAGAGTACAACCCAAATTACAAAGAAATTGCAGTTTATAATTCAAAATCATATTCTAAATGTTTTCTCTAATTTTTCACTATTAAAATATTAAAACTGTCACATATCCGAAAGCAGAGTTTTAGAAAGAAAAACTGAATCTAGGCAACAATTAGTATTTAAGATTTTATTCACATTAGCAAATGACCGATCTACATAAAGATTGCACTGGGTTTTAATTGTAAAGGGGCAATGTGTATATGCATGCCCATGCATGACTGTGTAAGATCCCAGCAAATGTCAGAAATGTTAAAATACCACACAGCCAAACCTTTTCCATTAACATTCCAATAGTTTTTCCAAGTAGTTATTGTAGTGTATAGTTTGCTTCTGAAACACAAAAAGCAATCTGTGTATAAACCATGATACTATAAAAACTATCTCCATGCATTTCTCATTTATTAAATTGATCTCTGAGTATGTCCCGAATGTTCGCTGTCTTTTTCAGTATGAAAAGTGATAAAAATGCAACTGAAATATATGTCTCCCAGGCACAATTTTGTAAAAAGTAATACTGGTTTATTGAGGTGGCAGTTAATTAACTTCAGGATCTGCACGCAGGACTGATTTGTTATATGCATTGATTATAACAGAAGCAGCAGGGAGCAAAATCTTCTCATCACCCTGGCTTTCCAATACACAGTTGTATCTGTGTTCTGCTATCAGGCTCCTTCCAGTTACCCTCTCCAATTACAGAGCAAACACAGTTCCATTCCATACTGTGAAATAAGGATCTATTTATTTTACACTAAATATCTGAATTCCTGACTCCTTTAAAGTAATAGAGTTTTGTCACAGACTTCAGTGGGTCTGAATTTAACTTTTTTTGCTTGTTTGTTTTAAAGTAATGTTTGCCTATTAGCTGTGTAGCTTTTTTTGGTCCTTTCTCCTTTCCTCAAGTATCTAATACTGAATAGATTTTCACTGCCCCAAATTTAAGCAAGTGAATCAGTCCAAGAATTGGAAGCAATGTATTTTTTACATGCATTAGAGAAATTACAATTTATCTGTCAATTTAGGCTCATCGAACTGTTGCTTAATACCCAGGTTTATTTTAATTCAAAAAGTCTTCATGCTACCTCAAAAAATGCAAGGAAAACTCAGACACATTTCACATAATCTGCAGAGATTAAAGATGTCATATATTTCCTTGTAAATCATCACCATACAAGAAGGATTCAGAGATTTCAGAGTGCTTGACATCTTTCCCTCCAAGTGCCTCATACAGCACATCACCTCACCTCCCTACCCATGCGCGCTGCATACTGAAAAGGCAGCACCGTGCCTTCCTACTTCTCTGCAAATGTCACTTAGCAAGTCTGTATACACCAGGTATAATTATGATAACACATCCTGATAGTTTGCAGACTGAGCACAACGCCTTTTACAAAACAGCACTAGACTTCATCATCATCACTCCTCACTTAGAACTTCTCAGCTGTTTGTTCTCAGTTCTCACATTTAAAAAAGAAATGTAATGAGATCTCAGTAATGAGATCTAGGCAGCCTATCCCCCAATTAAAGTATGAAGAACCTCACTTGGTGGTAGAGCCTCATCCACTCTCTGGTAGCGGCTAACATCCTGACGTACCGAAGGCAGTGACCTCAAGGGCTGATGGCCATTGGCTTGAGAACCTGGAATCAAAATGCACACAAATTATTTTTTCAGTCAATGTGGAGAAGCCCTAGTGCTGCCTCTAAAGTGAGCAAGACATCCTAAAGCTTCTGCAGGACGATGATATTTTAGGATATATCTAATAGTCATCTATTTTGGGGGGCAAAACAAGTTATGTCTGCAGTTCTGGGTAAGCGATTTCTCTGGGGTGTGCTGCAGTCCTGGTCCTGGAAATGTCACCTCTTGGGATGTGCCGCATCCACCTGTGACGAGCGGAATCCAGGGCACAGAAACAACAGCATGTGCTAGAGCCATATCACAGCAAGGGACAAGGACAAAGCTCCACCTGGCCACCACAGAAACCTGCTGTAAGAGTGGGAGGTGAAACTGTCCATTGACCTTCCTTGCTGCAGCCACGCTGATCTGCAAAACACAGTGCAACCTGACACCTAATAAAAAGAGTCCCAAATTCTATAAAGTTATGTAAAAGAACATGTTGACAGTATTTGAAACAAACACTGAAATTATTCTTTCCAAATCAAAGAGCTGTTTAAGAAGAGAAGAAATTAATAGATCCCAGAACTTTTGAAATGTTATGAAAAAGACACATGCAGAAATCCAGTTTGAATGCACCCACTTGATGAGATGCACTTCAGTCCCTGAAGAAACTGAATGGATAATCCATTGTGAAACGTGCTTGGAAACAATCCATTAGGGACACATTTCTACTTTCAGTGGTTTTAGTGAGACACAAAATTCTCAACTGTCAAAATAATTTTACAATTGGTAAGAGTTTCACAGTGTTAACTTGAAACTTCAACACCTCCTTCAACTCAGTGTTAACTCCTCCCATGGTTCCAGCTGTACTAGGATGTGTCTGAGAAAGGGAAGATAAACAGCCTGAAGTGTGACTAAAAACCAGTTCTTTTTTTTCTTCCCCCCTTTCTTTTGATTACCCTTATGTTTTAATGCTAATATAGGCATATATTTTCTTTCACCTATAAACTTGCCAAAGAAAAGACCCAAATATAAATTCTAGTTTGCATTTCATAGTTTTGGGATTATTTCCCCCACCATTACCATTTTGATTAGCAAGCAGGATAACATTGTGGAATTCTTTCCTCCTCTTCATCCTCCTCACTACTCTCTCAAGAATTAAAAAATATCCAGTTTCAAAATAAACACGTCTTGGATATTTCAGTTTTGATTTTTTGTTAAATCAAAAACTCCAAGAGTCTCCTGAAGATGGGAATAAATCTCAACGGAACAAAAAAAAAAAAAAATCTTGAAAGAGAATGAAATTGAGAAATGAAGATCTTTATTTTCAGATGTTAATTTTTTAAATTAGTTTTTACTGGCTGCAGAAAGGTCACTTCAGAAAGTGCCTCCTGCAGTTATTACCTCCAGTAGCTCCTTCAACCTGTGCTGTGGCACCCTCACAAGCTGCTTGAGCTCCTTCAGTTTCTTCATCCTGAGACTGGCTATTCGCAGCTGCCGCCTGCAGGCTTCTTCTTCTTTGCCAGATTTCTTCTGCTTCCTCTTGGTCTTGTAATTCACCTGCCTCAGCCTCCTGTACTTCCTCCTGAGGTAACTGTACCACAGGTAGAGAACCAGAAGTACTTGCAGAGTCCTGTGTTTCAGCACCTGGCTCAATTCTAGCCGCATCGGTGGCACAAGCTCCCTCTTCCTCCTCCTGAGAAGAAAAGGCTGGAGTCTCAGGAAACCTGGCACTTTCAAAAGAACATCGCATTTCAACTGAGGAACGTCGCACAGTCGCGCTTTCATTGCAAGAGCTGTCTGCCCCTTCTACATCACTCTCCCCTTCTGGCCGGGTACTAGCCTCACTGACGCTTTCCGTGCGAGCAGGATCACTCTGCTCAGTTTCTGATGACATCTGGGAAGGTTCAGACCCTTGATCAATGGATTCCGTTTCACTAACGCCCCTTCTGCTCCCGGCAGCAGCATCGGCAGCTCCTGCATCTGCACTTCTAGGAGGTTGCTCTGCCTCCTGAGCGGCACACGACTCACTGCCAGCCTGGTCTGCTGGTGCTTCACTTTGAGAACCTTGCAGGCTTTCACCTCCTGCTAACTGTGACGGTGGAAGCTCTGGGAGAGTCTCTTGCTGGTCATCAGTTGATGGCAAAGGAGCTTCAGAGGCTGAAACGTTTTCACTCTCTGCAGGCCCTTGCATTACCTGATCTGATGAGTAACTTAAACCATTTCTTTCAACATTTCTTGTAGCACCATTAAGCATTACTAAACCACCATCGTCGTCCAAGGAAGACTGAAAACCCAGGTCTTGATGTAGCTCATGCTCCTCTTCATCTGAGTCAATGTGAAGCATAGCGTTAAGTCTTGTGTCAGTAGGGAAGCTACTCCTCAGTTTTGGGGAGGCTCCACGTGGACGCTCACCACAGGCAGACGTCCCGGGTCTGGGATGATTATTGTGTTCTATTGCATCCAAATAGTCATTTAGTGAGTCCTGGCGACCTCTGATAGGTGATGATCTTGAAGCTCCAGAGGTCAACTCATCCTGGTCCGTTTCCAGAGTTGCGCTAGTCCTTAAAGGGTGTCTCAGGATTGCTTCTCCAGAAGATTCCTCGAGGACTGGACCATTGGAACACACTGTGGATGTATCGTGATGACCTGCTGGCATGTCCTCATCATCGGAGGGGCTCCCCAAGTCTCCATTTACAGAGTTCACTCCTAGCAAAGTGCCAACTGTTTCTGGTGAAGCATCTGCAGAGACACAAAGACTGAATGTGAAACACAATGCAGCAACAGATAGTTCATTCTACTTTGCCTGCACCACAGAAGATCACAGATGTGATATAAAAATACACATCTTTCAAGATGTTAGCTTATTTCAATCAGACAACTAAGGGAAGAAAATACAATTAAAACAATAGAGCCATCTACAGCGTTATAACAGCAATTACAGAACTTTCTGTGTATAAGTCTATGCTATTTTGTAGCATATAGAAAATCTAAGGGGTGTGAAGTATGACTTTAAAGGACTCCCATTTTGCTTTCAAAAGACAGAGCACTGCCAAGCATCTTGCCAAAATGTCAGTAAAACCAGCCTCACAACCAAGGAACCAGTTTTCTACAGCATTTGTCTCATATCCAAAAGTAGGATTTACACAAAGCCAGCCACTGACACCAGTTGTCATTACACCCATAGCAGCATGCAAACCAGCATCCGAGATCACATGAGGAATTACAAATTGTGTACAGATATCAACTTATATACACAACACTTATTTTGAGTTAATTTATAGGACTTTTCCACTCTAAAGAATGGGAATCTACCTAAGTAAAGTTCATGCGATATTAGGTATGCTATGGTAATATATATAAAAGCGAAATGAAAATAAGCCATCTCATTTGAGAGATAAGATGGTAACTCCCCACAAGGGAATTAAAGCAGCACAGAGTTGAGTAATCCAGATGTGTCTGTAAATGTCTGCAAAAAACTTAACAGTGAAGTCTGTGAACTAGAGTGCCTGGCAACAAACAGGACTGAAGACAAGCATTTTTTAAAAATGGTGACAGAGCAAAAATAATAATGAGATACAGGACTACATGGCTACAACAAAGGGCAAGAAGTTTGTATCAAGTTAAAAGATAGAGCAGTATTTCACTACCAAAGAGATTATACCAAGTCTAATGAAGGAGAATTTAAGATCATAAACATATAGACAGACACATACGATGTGACAAACATGTAACTCCACCAGCCATGTTCTACTAGTTGCCTATAGAACAGGAAAAAAGGGAAATAAAAGAATTGCCTAATGGAAGCATGTATTCTCATAACCGTAACAGATATTCTTGGTTCTAAGCAGGACAGTGTAAAAGGGGGACAGGACAGAGTGATCTGCAGGTACACTAGCAGGGGAGGAGAGCACAGGTGAAATCTTACTTACAACTGCTTATCTCAGCCAAAGGTGTTACAGAGTGAAGAGAAACAATGAATTTGATTACCCAATCTATCCCACAAAATGAGACTCACAAGCAGATTCATTTAAAATCTAGCTAACAAAATAGGAAAACAATACAGTAAGTGTTGATGTTTTGGAATTACCGCCTCCAAAGCAGTACCTGACATATCTCAACTTTGAATCCCAATAGAAAAGATCTATAATAGACGCACTATACGCAAATGAGAAAGTATATTATCACAGAAAATGCTAGAAATAGAAATAGATAGAAACTCTCTCCATAGAACTATCGGGAGATCCAGTTCACTGACAAATTCTCACCTTCGTGAACAGATGATGTGATTTCCACTTTGAATTGGAGATATCCACTTACATGATCAGCTGGGAGCCTTCTGCCAAGATTATAGCTGAGAACCTGGTCTCTGCAAAAACAAAGATATTGGGTTTTTTTTACAATTTTAACTGCTTCTATTTTTCCAATATTTTGTATCAGAGGCTCTTACCAGATAAGAGTCAGCGTGATAGAATGTAATTTCTATTAGAATCTTAAAATCAGCCACATACTCTAGCTTGTATGGAAAAGCACAAACACCAACAATGGTGTAAAATACTTTTAGTTAACAGATAAAACAGGATAAAACAGCCTAACAAACTGCTTCTGATCATTTCCAAACACAGACTGTGCCCCAGCAATTCTTATACATCCCTAAATCTCTTCTTAAGTCCTAAAGAAATCAGACTGCAAAGCATCCCCTTTTCCCTAACCTCCTCCTTCCCCCAACCCAAAATATGTTTTATAATTAACAAAACCTTTCATTTTTTAAAACCTTCTGCCCCCTTGTGGTTTTTATTATATACAAAATTCCCAAACAGGTTCTTCACATTTCAGCTCTCATTCAATAAAGCACTTCTGCATTCCTGTTTAGAAAAGCTATTAATGCTCGGATTTAACTTCAAATATGTTCTTCAGGGTTACTGAATTCAGTGGGACTCAGACTCGATTAAGCACTTGTATCAGCTTGAGACTTAGGATCAGATCCTAGGCTATACGTTCTTATTAGGCACAGCCAGAATTCACAGCCCCAGCCGCCCTCAGCACAGCTGGGACAGCTGAAGGGAGAGGAGGGGGCTGCTGAAGACCTCCACAGGAAATTATTGCTATTATACTGGTATAAAAACCTCTCCCTTACTGGGAGCACTCCTACTGCAATATGAGTGACAGACTAAAATGAATGCAAGGTCATTACTGAAATAAGCTGCAGCAGTTTGCATCCAAACATTAACTTTTAGCAAAAAAAGCCCTGAGTGGACAACGTAAGGCAAAGCATCCTCCCCACGTTGCTCTATGGGCTGCAGTACATCAAATTATTATAGTAGTGTCTCCAGGATCTGTCACAGATTCATCGTTCTGCACTCCAATTACAATTCTCAGCTAGACTTGGGGTGTCTTCAGAAGATTGCCATTTGAGATTTCCACAGTTTTTACATAAGGTTTATGTAATTCAAGATTAGAGAAAGCCACGACATGAATAATGTCTGCTCTGCATTCAGTTGAATCAATACTAGATGATTCTCATGCTCATTTATCATATTTTCCAAGAAATCTAAAGCCACTTGGCCATTTTGTTACACAAACTTGTGAGCTATGCCGACAGCTAAAAGTGGGGCAGAATTTTCGTGCACTCCGTCTAAAAATGGCTGGTTCTGGACTTCACCTTTTCATTCATTAATACTGATCATTAATACAGGGAAGGGCAAGTTAAGCATATCGTATACTGTAAGTCCTTGGACTTTGTTCATGTAATTTTTCAAGTTCACATGTTAACCCAGTAGAGGATTTCAATTGTCCTTGACATCACCAAAATGAAAAAGAAGAAAGTGAAGACGTTTTACTTGCTTGACCAAAAACAAAATAAAACAGAATTAGCAGTTGATTGTACGTTTGGTACACTACTACTTCACGTCTATGTTAACCACTCCTTTCTTTCACAAAACTTCTGGTGAAATGCTGGCTGGAAAAAGGAACTCTGACAACTGATTGGCATGCAAAAACTGTAAATGGACAAATAAATTACAGATGAAGAGGCAAAAATATCTGCAAGACTGATTTAATGTCAGTTCTAAAAACAGTATGGCAAAACCAAACTGAATACTTACCTATATTCTTGCTACATATTTATTATACAGCCCTTCCTTTCCTAAAAGGATTTGAAATATCAAATATACAGATGAGGCGCTTAGGGACATGATTTAGTGGGCATGGTAGTGTTGGGTTGACGGTTGGACTTGATGATCTTAGAGGTCTTTTCCAACCTTAATGATTCTATGATTCTATGATTCTATGAACTGAAGTATGGAGAAGAAAACAGGAAATGTCTTCCAGTATACCGGTTTGAAAAAACAACAAGAGGAAACGGGTAATTTACAGACCTCACAGCACTAGGAATTCCAGAGAAGAAAAATCTTTTGGGGGTTTAGCATGGAAATGAACACCCTGAACTAGGTTTTGAAAACAGCCTGTATCACGGTGCTATTTTTGAGTGTCTAGCAGTGTGCAAATTTATTAGAAAAAGCTGCTTGCTCAACTTATCACAAATTGTTGAAACTCAAAGATGAAGCATTTCTCAGAAAAGTTAGATTGTATATACATCTGAACTGCTCTTAGATACCACTACAAAACAAATGGACAGGCTTTTTTTTTTTTTTTTTTTAAAATAAATTCTGTATCAGAAGACATCATCAAAGTTTTACGCTACTCTTACAATTTTATTCTTACTTTACTTACCAGTATAACTACCACTTTGGAAACTTAAAGCTGAAAACTGTTTTCAAATTGAATTTTATTTTCTCCATATATGCAACTTGTTATTTTGATGGGAATATCTGTGAAAAAGGAGGCCAGTTGTTTATATCCTGCTTTCTGTGCAAAAGCGTGATGATACTGCCATGCCCTTAAACTTTCAGGGAAGAATATATGCATTTTATTTCACCATCATTCCTCATGGGCCTCTTTAAAGTTAATGGAGACACATTAACTTTAGCAGACTTTGAGTTAGGTCCTATGCAAAACCCTGAATAATTCAGTTCCTCCCATTGTCTTTCAAGGAATTATTTTTTCTGATTTGTCAAATACAGCAAAAAGATGTTAACAAAATAATATACTCTAAAATTACTGCTCTGCTTTAAATGTAAAATTATGGTTTTGCACACACTGCTGCACCTGTTGCAGACCTCCAGCCATTTGTTTCACACCTGCAATGTATCACAGTGCCTAATTACCAAGTCCCAGGCTCTTCTCAGTGCATATGGTTGTATGAAGGCCTCACTAGATCATTCACTTGGTCCCCTCCAGTAACCATCATGAAGTACAAAAAATCTTAGAAGATTCTAGGTGACTTGCATCTTTATACCATAATGATTAGCTATCAAAAAATGAACAGATTTTTTTTTAAATAGCACAACAGGTGAATTTTGAGTCCCATCAGTGTGCTATTCATAGCAAAAGGAAATTTTAATTGCACAGTACCATCAGCACTCTGAAAGTTCTGGTTCACCAGCACTCTGCAGTTCTGGCGAATTACCTGAACAGATATTAAATCTCTGATTATTAAATTGACAATTAAAAATACCTGAACTGTAAAAGAAGTGAGACAATAAAATCTGCTTCTTCTAAAAAATTTGCACACAATCATGTAGTGTTGTGATAATGCCTTGCTTCTTGACTAGCTAGCCAGAAGGTAACATCTTTTGCGAGGGTAGCATTTTTTGTGTAAAGACATTAAGCTGAAAACAAATTATAGACACACATGTACACAAACATGGTTACATGCATTCAGAACAGGGTTAGAAACACTGACATCTTCCAGTCAGGCAATAAGGCTATTAAAACTCCTACTAAATTTCTTACTACAGACACGGTAGAAATTTGCTGTTCTGTGCCAGTAAGCCAGAAAGGCTGCTCTGCGCCAGTATTCCAGATGCTGAGTCTTCCTGATCAATGGAAGTTAGCATTAAGAATGTATTAATTTACCCAATTGCATGTCTCTCCAATAGTCTCTGAACTGGTATGGTTAACTTCCCAAGAAAGCGCTTGATGATCGGACGACTCTTGGCAAATTTGTCTTTAACCTCAATTTCCAGGACATCTGTTAGAAGTGCAACAAAAGAATATTTCTGGAAGGAAAGAACATATTTGACACCATATCAATACACCTTTATTCAGAAAGCATGTACATAATTACTACTAGCGTACAGCGAACTCCAAAAGTAATGATTGACGACAGCAGTTTCCATATTGCAAAATAATGTCAATATCATTTATTAAGCACTGTATTTTTGCATCTTTGAGATCTGTGCTGCTCTGTCAAGTCTGCCTGAAGATGGCCAAAAGATTCAAAAGTGGTACAAGGCAAATATATAAGGAGGCATGTTGGCAGACACACACATATAGACATGGTGTGATAAATTCCCTTAGGAAGCTTAGGAACCAAAGATTTTTATTTTTCCTCTAGATTTTAAGATATCTCAAATAAACAAACAAAAAAGTATGGTATAACCTACTCAGAAAAGCCGAGGTCATCTGGTTATACTTTTACTATCTGCCATCTTTAAGACCTCTGAGCAAATCGCAACCTGAGTACAATGCCCAATACGCATCTGGCTAGATAGCTAAAGATGTATCGAACAAGGAACAAAAGAAGGAACAACTCTTCAGTTCAGCTGTAGACATCAGCTAAACATACTAAACAAAAAAGTATGGTATAACCTACTCAGAAAAGCCGAGGTCATCTGGTTATACTTTTACTATCTGCCATCTTTAAGACCTCTGAGCAAATCGCAACCTGAGTACAATGCCCAATACGCATCTGGCTAGATAGCTAAAGATGTATCGAACAAGGAACAAAAGAAGGAACAACAGTTCAGCTGTAGACATCAGCGAAACATACTCAAAAACAGCAATTAAATTGGGTCTGGAATAAAAACACTTTCTCATGCTGGGCAACTGTCAGAGCTGGGTTCCTCTGATAAACAGAACTCAAAAATTTGTCACACTCAGTTTGCTATAAAATTGCAAATTATTTTGCAGAAAGGAGTAGATGCAAAACAGGATCAATTCTGCACCACTAGGACAGCATATGTAATGGGATCATAAGCTGCTGTTGTCAGAGCATTGCTACAGGGAGGACACAGCAGTGAAAGCAAGCTGATAAAATGCGTGAACCAGTGAACATTATCACTTTTCTAATAAGCTTCAAAACCAAGGACAGCTGGAGGAGAAAAAAGGGGAAAAATAATACTAGATTTTCTTTCTATCTACTCAATTTAGAGATTAGAACTCTAATTTTTTAAAGATTTTAGGACTTCCATACATCTACAGTCTTTCCCACAAACAAGCACCCCAGAGCAGTGCTAATGCTGGCCCTGCTCTGTACTCCTTTACTGCTTGTTTGGTTTGATTATGATTTGTGGGAACATTTTCCAAAGCCCACTCAATTTTCCAATCTTCCTAAAGAACACATTAACATTCATGAAACACAGTACAGGCATCTGGCTCATTAGAAAAAATGCGCAGATCAAGAACGCTGCTTGCCATTCCTGAAAGGGTTACAGACTTCTGTCAGTATTTTCACCTTGTTTCCCACGTAAACATTTATCTTCAAAGGCACAGCCTGGCTCTTCTATGCTCAAAGACAGTTGTGGGGCTGAGTTCCTTCTCTGAGACCTGCACAGCTTACCCAATATAAACACATCCGGAAAACTGGCTTCTGCCAAACTGCCTTTTTCTTCCCCCTTGGGGAAGAAAAGCCCCCCTGGGCTTTCCTTCCTACAGCAGTGCATACAGAGGCTACCCCAAGGAGCATCCCCTCTACCTGACAAAACTGAAAGCTTCCACCTGCTATGCACAATGAGAATATAATTTCCAAATGAACAGTTGTTGCAATCATGAAGCATAAATGCTCACTTATTGTACCTTTTTTAAAAGAGTCTTCTCACAACATATAATCCATTTTAATTAATTTTTTTTTTGCAATTTTGAGAAATCTACAGGGCTGTTGAGCAAGTTTAACTCTTGTTAGCAGAGAAGGGAATGAAAACCTCACAGTAGTGCAGCTTAAATATGCAAATGATAGCTGTTTCTATCCAACAACAGGGTTCCTAAAATTACTACAATTTCTGTGTCAGTTTAAATAACTAGCTACAAAATAAGCTCACAGCCTTCAGAGAGTAAGGACTAATGCATAAAGAGAAAATACAAGCCTGGTACACTGCATCAGCTGGCAGACAGCTCTCAAAAGGGATACATTACCTCTCTGTGCCAAATAGGATTAGTTGTGTTACTGATGATAGTCGACCTTCTTTCCTGGCCATGATGAGCAAATGTGGGAAATGTACTTTTCTTGCCTGGCTGAATGGACATCTTTAGATATGGATCAGGGTTGAAGAACATGCCTTTTTTAAGTCCAACTGCTCTAATATCTATAAAGCAAAACAAGAAGGAAGGAAAAAGGAATTGAGTAAATTAAAGCTAGTTCACAAAGTAGTGCATTCCTAAAATATTACCCAGGAAATCAATTCACCATAAACTACTAAATAAAGCAACTTAAAATTACTCATACGTTAACTGGATCCAGTGTACAGAAGACAGTTAAAGCAGGAAGTCAAGTGTTTTCCCAAGAGAATATAGGGAGGAAAGGTATCAACATCCTCGTCTACATTTCAGCCTCCAGTCATTTGTAAAACAAAAAGCATGAACTTGTAATTCACCTACAAACGTTTTCTTCTCAGTACGTAAGGTATTTCCACTCTTAAAAAGAAAAACCAAAAACCACAAAAAACCCATCACACAGTACTTGCTCTGTTTCTGGGTAAAGGAAAGGCACTAAGACAAAAACTGTATGAGAGGTAATGTAGTAAATTCACACTTTCCCAAAGTTGAGACTTTGATAAACGTAACTTCAAATACCCATTTATCAAGGTTGCTCCGGACGATGACACACACTTTCTCCCAACTTAGGAGAAGATAACCTATCTCACCTAAAAGGAGGCAAAGTCTTCTGAAAATGCTTCTTTCTTCCTAGGGAAACCTCAGTACTGCAGCCCTTGCGACTTGCAACAATGAATAATAATTTCCTCAGGTGCATACGCTCATGCCTAAGGATTAATGATAGTGCAAGCTTCAACGAGAACAAAAAGATTATTATATATAATGTTAGATTTTAAACTTAACTGTAAAATATTTCTCTGTTTAGGTTTGCTGAAGCACAAGATTTTTGTGTCTTTCTCCATTACATACTCCAATATGCTGCATGCAGTGTTCATGACTCTAATGCAACTGGCACATACATACTTAGATGAGCAGTTTATTCATGCAGGCAAAATTCACTGCACTAAAATGAAATGCCACGCCTGTGGATCCAGTAAAAAAAAAAAAAAATCCTACCCAATATTCAAAATTAAGCCACACCAGACATACCAGGAAATAAAGGATAATTGCTTTAAAAGCAACAACTTTGCACGTGCAAATGAGCAACCAAAAAATGTTCTGGAAATACCTTACAGACCTATCAGTCAATACAACTTCCAAAATGAATTTAGGGGACTCCTCAGGCTGACTCACAACCTTCTATTAAACACAAAAGGTTTTTCAGAATTCACAAAACAATTATTTTTATAGTAGTCTATGGGAGTCTACACAACCTTTCAGCTCTATCCCAGATAACTGCTGCAAGACCATTTCAAAAAGCCGGGTTATTTTCTGCTCTACCCCTACAATCTCTAAATGTTTTCAAGTCTCCTCAAGAATCAGAAGCAAATTTTTTCTGTCTTTGCTCATGCTGAATATGCTTTAGTCTCACACAAGACTTCCTGTGGAATAAAGTGCTAACCAGAACAAGTTAAGCTGGTAGGCTGTACCCCTACAGCTATTTTGCTGTAGTGACAGCTTAGCTCTCTTACAAGTAAAGATTTTTTTCCTTTCTAAACAACCATTTGCAGCCATTGCTTTTTTACTACTTCAAAGTGATGGAACCAGCTTGTATTTTATTTAGAGGCTAAGTTTTCCACTCTTCAATCTGAGAGAAACTGTCCCTTGTGCAAACTGGAAATCTCTCCAAATTACTCATGCTGGGATCCATCAAATCCATTTCTTTCACTCCTAGAGATTCATGATTCTGGCTTGTTTTCAACAAACAGAAGTTATAAAGAAATGACATCTTTCAAGCCACTAGAGTGTGCTCCTACAGAGGCTAATGAAGAAAAGTGTTCTATGTTTCAAGATATTTAAAACAGCATTTTTTTTTGTAACAATAATTTGTGAAACACAGAGTAGTGTTGTTTTTTACCTGATAGGGTAAAGCTGACTAACTTCCGAGAGTGCTGGGCTCCAGAAGCACCTTCATCCGTGCCTTCTACTCCCATCTGAAGAGGAGGAAAAAAATGAAATATACCACAGAAGTTTTCATCTGCTTTGTACCTGCTTGAGGATGATAATGCAATTGTAAGGTAGTATGCAGGGGAAGAATCTGACCAACTACTGCCTATTACCACAGACAGGCAAAGCTACAGCATTTGTTTCTAGGAAACTATCTTTATTTATGCCACGCAGTGCTAATACACCAGTCCTTGGAATCTTCCAAGCAGAAGATATATAGGCTAATACACGTGCAGACACTATTAATTGGAGAAAAGGAGACTGTATTTTCTTATGGGTTTTCCTTTTGTAAAATAGAATCAACAGTATGGATTGGTAATACATACCAAAGCACCAAGCTGGCCAGTGACAGCATGTGTAACTTTTGTCACTTTCCACAAATAGATAATTTACTTTGCAACAAAAAAAGCAGAGATCAAAGAAAGACTAACAAAAACCTTCAGATCTATGAACAAAAGCTCCTTTTCAACAGAAAAATGCATCAGATATGAATGTGGTCTAAAACCTTATGCTTCACAGATTTTCAGGTTTGGTTTCCACTGAAATCTCTTGTTAGGTAAAGTACTAATTCAAAATAAAAAGCTTCTCATGCATTAATGTCTTATTAACGTCTAGCTCTTTCAAGTAGCAGAAGAATTTGTCTTTCAAGACAGAGATGTGCATCCAGCTGAATAATCTATCATGAAGACATCAATGGAGCTATCTTTAGTCAAATGTTTCTTCAGGTAGGCACTGCACTCACTCCCACGCAGAAGAGGTGACACAGCCTGATGAAAAAGCTTCAGCCATACATGGCGCTGGGGATTAATATTAGGGATAGAACAGGAAGTCATCTGATCTATTGAACAATAAAAAAAATAAGCTGAACAAAAACTCGCACACCTATGTGTGTAGATTAAGTATGTAAAGCAGTTTTGAGCAGCTGAGCAGTTGTTTGAAGGCTGAACTAGAAGTTACTGGATTGATAAATGATTTCTGGAGCCGTGGTAGCTGCGAGAAACCCACTTTGCACTAACCAAAAACTTAATCATTCCTTTTTATATTGCTTTAAGCTATTTAGTATCATTAGCTTTCAGATACTTCCCATGATGATCAGTAAGTACATTGGAATTTCATCGGAATTAGCAAACAATTAACAAAATTTCTCCTGTTGCAAAACTCTAACACTTTATACGTAACAAGCAGTCAAACAAAGTGATAACGAAACAGCAATGACGTTGACACCTGACGTCCCCATGGGCCTCAGCGGTCCTGCGAGGGAACACGCCGTGCCAGCAAGCACCGCTGCTCACCAACCAGCCCATTCCCCTCCCTCCCTGGGAAAAGAAACGCTATGTATTTCAGTGTACTTTTTTGGGCTTATTCTAACATGCATTGTTTTCTTGTTAAAAACGTTATTGATCAACAAAAAGGCCTTCCTCATTCTATACCTATTTTTCTGCTACATTGCTGACTCTGTTTGAATAATGTTGTTTACATTGCTAATCGTTACTTCATTTTATAGAAAATCGGATTTGCCCACAATTAGCTATACTAAAATGAACTGTAACAGTGTTCCCTAGCACTTCCATGGCTTCGCTATATACCCTTTTCCTGTTCCAGTATGATCTGAACAGCAATTTCAATTTTTCCATGCCAAGTACAAAATTTCATCCCAGCATACATGCTTAGATTTTTTGCACTACGAAGGCTATCTCAGAAACGCAGTGTGATCAGCCCTTGCATTTCCACTGGTTCAAATGAACACAACAGAATGCTAGTTGCTTATCCAAAAGTAAAATGGACTGAAATGCCTGGTGTGATATGCCATCAATATGAGGAAAACCAGAAACATGCCTCCCACCAAACCATGTAATGCGAAAACACAGAATGATCCAAGTAATCAGGTAACTTATTGTAGCTTAAAAAAACAGAGAGTGGGCATGTCGTGACTCTCTTACCACTTCCACGAACAGCACTTCTGTAGCAACAGACACGGCCAGTGCCAAGAGAACAAAGTATTCTCTACTACACAGTGCTTAAGCCCAAAACTGAAACCATGAAAATGGTCTGAGGTATTAACGTATAATAGTAGGTATACTTACGTATAACTAACCCAACATGATATTTTTAGGAAGTCTCATCTGAGCTGTCCATATGACATTCTCATCAGGGAAACTAACAGCTCACTATTACTGGAAGTCTGTACTGTTAGCGCAAAAAAAAACTTTTATATAAAAGTACACCTTCTAGCAGGAGTGTAAATTCTGTAGAATACCCAGGACCCCGTGCTGCCTTTCAAAGGAAAGAAATTTAAATAGCGACAGCCGGTTAACCCCTCAAGATTGACCAATGACTCTGAAAGACAGGTCTTCAGGTAGCTCCCAAGTAAACAAATGCATACTCAGAGACAGAAGTTCGGATGTCCTTCTGTGCAATGATTCTCAAAAATATTGGTGGCTAATATGACAAGGTCAAGAAAACACACAAGTTCAAATGGTTTCTCCATCCAATATAATCATTCTGCTTCTCAGTAACAAAATAGTGCAGCACATAGCCCATTTTAAGGGTTACTTTAAGATGCTTTTTTTTCTTTGTTCAAAGTCAGGATACCTTACAGTCTGTAGTTTATAAATTGATATTAAAGACAGTGGCTGTCAAGCTCATTAACTGTAACACATTTTCTTCTGTAAAATATCTAAAGTTCATATGCCTGCTGCGAAACGGTATTATTCATAGCCAGATCTGACAAAGATCTGACAATTAAATGATGCTATCACCTAGGTCTGTAATTCTAAAAAGAAAAAACATTTGGTATAACGAGATATAAAGTCTAGTATAGCACATACAGTATCACATAGCCATAACATGCACTTCTATATAATATACAATGCTGAAAAAGTGCAGGATCAGAATAAAAGCGATTCCGTCTGAATAACTTGTGTTCTACAGTATCTTCGACATTACAGTTGTCAAGACAACATCCTGACAGATGTGATCGTAAATATTTGTCAGCTAATATCAACGAATCAAATGCACTGTGAAACTTCATGTCAACTGAAGAGCTAGCCTATTAGATAAATTAATTCCATCAAAAGCACCTGGATACAAGTTCAGAAGGCTCTTCTTCCAATACGTATTTAAACAACTAAAAAAACTCCTCTAAAACTTCTAGCATTTCAAAAGAACAAGTCTCATAATGAAAGCATAGTAAGGCAGCAATAATTCTCAGTAGTCAGAGAATTATCTAAATTTCAATGGTATCCAAACACTCAAAAAAATCAGTAATTTTTACAAGAGCAGAGTTTTGTTCAGTCTCATTTTTATACTAATAATTGCTATCTCAGCAACAATTTCATTTTTATTATTAACAAATAATAATAAGAAATTGAGACTTTTAATTCTTTTTAATTCTAATTAAGGATTCAGTCTGAGTTAGATAACCAGCATGAAAAATTTCTACTATGGTGTTAAATTACAGCAAACTGTAAGCCGCAAAACTGAAAGCAAGCAAAACCAAATTCTTAGCATAAAAGATTTCAGCTAAGCTCAGTGATTTTTACTGTCATTTTACCACAAAAAATACAAAACCAAGAAAAGCATTTCCCAATTTTGATGATTTTTGTCAGGCAATAGTTTTTTGCAAAAATTGCAGTTAATGGTAAAACTAGGAAACATATCAATAGTTTGTCTGAGAGTTAATATTATCATCTTATAAAAATACAATGAACAAACAGGCTAAACTTACCATCACAGCAGGGTTTTTCACAGTGATACATGGAGTAGTAGCTCGGAGGGCTCCACTAACACCATGGTAGTATTTAAAACAGATCTTTATTTCAGCTGGAAAACAAAACAAAAATCACATTAAATCCTTCATGACTGACCCTTGGCAAAAGAGAGACAAAGAAAGGAACACGGGCATACAGGGAGTCATAGTTCACTTCTGCTCATGGAGTCCAAGTTTGGGCAGTTCCCTGATACATCTTTGCTGTAAAAGCACACAATAACTGTAACTGAAATATATTTTCTCTCAACCTGTAGAAAATTGGAAACCTGTCTCAAAGAAAAGTCTGAATAGAGTTTTTAGCTAAAAAGCTGGTAAATGCTGCCTCCCCCTCCCCCCGGCCCCCCAATTTATAATTTTAACTAGATTTCTATTCAGTCAGTAAAAAAACCAACAGCTCATTTTTTCCAGCTCTTACAGCGAGACATCCATGGTCACTATTGCGTAAGTAGTGTCTAAGTATTCACCAGCCACAATTCACACAAAGCCACTTCTGTATGTTTTGTATGGGTCCAGAGGGAAGGAATACCAGAGATCAGTATTATCTCTGAAGACAAGTTCATTTCAACATAATAGGATTAAGGTGAATTATTATTTTTCAGCAGATTTGTAAGTTGAAAATCAAAAAATAATTACACGTTTTATTCTTAAATTATTTAATCATATGAAAATGGGACCTCTCTCTACAGCCTTACACACAGAGGTGGTACTAAAGGTATTATATCTTCTTAATGTAGGAAATAGTTAAAGCAACTGCTTCTCAAATGGAAAGTACATATTTTGATGAATGTATTAACATATATTATGCTGACATAATGATTTAAACAGTGGCATCCTTTTTAGGCAGTTTGAGCAGTTTGGGTTTTTTTTTTCCATATGGAAGCAATAATTCTCAAATGAACTACTTACCCCTATAGTAATTGTGATAGAAAGGAGAACATCACAGGTGAACACGTGCTAAGTGCCCCAAGCCCCAAGCCCTTGCACAGCTGCAGCAGCAAGGCAACACACCTTGCACTTCTTTTTCCTAACCATAGGCAAGGGCACAGAGAACAGAGAGGCTACAAGTGTCCCACCACTCTCTCACAGCCAAAAACACGACTGCAGAGAATCAGGGTAGAGACTCAGGATATATTTTCCTGGATTATAATACAACCCTATTTGCTGTAAGATAACTGTGCTTTTTGCTCTGAGTTGATTCTTACAAGATGAAGGAGAAAAGAAATCATTAGATCATCTACTCTGATCATTATTGTGCTCTTTGCTGCCCCTTCTCCCCTTCACAAACTGAATGTTGACTTATGGACTCCAGAACTGTACCCCAGCATCATCCTCACCAAAGCTGAAGGGGGGGGCAGGGTTGGGGGGATCGTTCCTGTGGTCCTACAAGATGCTCCTCTGCTTATATATGCAAGAATATATTATATATATTATAGCTCCTCATCACAGGTTACATAGCAAGTTGATGTTGAGGTGCAGGACACACGGCCTACATGCCTTTCATTCTGAAGTCAGCAATACCAAAATTAATTTTATTTGGCTGTGTCTAGCTTGCTAAATCATCCTATATGGATCTTCAATTGCTTTTATTCATTCCACTAATTCTCATATCATCCACAGATTAAATCAGTAGGAACCCTGGATTTCAAAGTGCTATGAAAATGTTTAAAAGTACTGCATCTTTTCTTAACTCCTGCAGAGCCTCACTAATAAGATTTCACTTTTTGTGTAACCTGTCAAACCTTTTACTATCGTTTAGTATACCAATCCAAAAATACCCTTGATCCTGGTAAAATAAAAGAATAAATAGACACAGCTTGAGGATGAGACAGATTACTGTAAAACACAAGCTCTTTAAGTTTGGATTCTGCATTAGCCCTACAGGTGTTCTGGCATTCTGGTAGGAGTGGAGATGCAAGTATGGCTGACCATGGTGAAAGCTATTAATATGCCTTTCAGTGTACTCTTGAAAGCTCATTCTGTATGAGTAGGATCCATCATTTAATGAACTGTCTTCAGAAATACTTCAACAGGAAATTAAGAATAGAGCATCTGGTTATCTCCCCTTTGTGTGCTGGGACCTTCCATTACTTAACAGGAGAATAAAAAAGTAACTTATCTAATTCTGTACTTATATTTCTGCTACTACTTCAATATAATCAACTATGAAAAGGGGTTACAGAGATATTTGCTACTAGGATGATTCTTGTCAGACTCTGGAAGAAGTTGCATAACACATACCTGAAGGAAGCTTGAAGCACTTTATATTGGAACACAGGTAAGGTGAACGTTGGGCCATGTTTCTGGTCCCACTGAATAAAGTTTTGTTTGCTAGACTGCATTGACTGCATTTACTGCAAACAAGAGAGTATTATGTTTAACTGAAGCCTGACCTCCACCGTTGTTCCTCTCCATTCTTCCAGCCCAGCAGAACAACTATAATTATGGCTGCCCTTGATCCTGTGGGATTTTCCCTATCTGGAACAATCTCTGTTTTCCTTCTCCGTTAGGATAACTATTCTGTGTGAGGTTGATGAGGGTTTACTTCTGGGTACAGAAATGGCCACACGCAGGCAAAAGTGGCTACAGGAAGGCAGGAATTATAGCAGCCAGTTCAGACAGACCAGAGGATGTGCATGGAAGTCCTGACAGTTCAATTCCTCTGACTTGGTTTAACAGCATGTCAGTAGTTCTAAAACATAAAACTCCAATATTTTGTATAAGGTTTTGAGACATACAGCATGATTCCTTGCGGGCTGAGGTATTTCATTACTGCGAGATAAAATACTCACTTATCCCTATGCAGAAGGATCAGAAATCTTGCAAGCCTGCTCAGCCAAAAAGGATTATTTATTTATTTTTAGATTTACTGCAGTTATAGGTCAACGTTTATTTACTATCTTCCTCCCAGAACAAAGAGGAGGCACCTCAGAACTACCCTTCAAAGGAAAGTGTCTGGCTGACAGTGCCTCCAGGGACTTAGGAGGTGGAGGAGATGCTGGTCCCACTTCCTCCTCCTTACAGCTGAGTTCAAACACACAGTCAAAACGTGCTCTATTTACCACAAGCTTTACAGCAAAATTAAAAATGCAAACAGGATTTTTAATCACCTACAAAGGTTTAACAGACCTAAAAACTATAGGTCAGGACCTGCAGGTTCTTCCTAAACTGAGCAATTCTGTTGGCCTACCAACAATGCTAATATCCAAATGGACACACAAGAATTTCTAGCCCACATAAAACTGGACTTTCAGCACTTGCAAAAGTTGGCAGGATTTATACCAAGTGCTGGACTCCACTTGTAAAATGCACATATTAAGTAACGAGGACTCAAGTCTTGAGCATCTCTTAATCACACTGTGAACGTATTATGACTACATGAGAGTATGGTAAGACAATGAACTATTTCACCAAGACTTCTACTTTCCACCTATATTGCTCAGCTTTATTGCGATCCAAACTTTATTTTTCAGAGAGATTCTGGAGCTGCTGTTTATTCAGTCTGTTGTCACTGACTAACTTCTCTCAATTCATCACTTCTGAAAAGAACCTAGCAATGGAAAGGTTATCTGCTGCTTCTATGCACAGACAGTCCATAATATGATGGTGGACAGAAGTTTGTTATGCATTCTCACTGCACTGACATGTACATTCCCCTAAAGGTGGAAATGCAATGCTATGAGCTTCAGAGCCTCAGATTTCTTTCTCTCAATGACTTCTAGAAGCATACAGTACTTTTCAATACCTGGCTGGTGTGGCTGGTGACAGAAGAAAACAATGTTTGATTCAAGAAATAGATCTGACGATCCCTTTCACATAAACTAAATTAAAAAAAAAATAATCTTCAGGACTAATTGCTAGAAATAATTAGAAAAATCAGAGCACTTAAAAACATGACTGTAGACTTTTTCTCCCACTTCCCAACAGAAGCAGCATTGAATTTGGTTTGGGCTTTATACAGCACTACACACAGGAACAGCAGCCTGCTGTTAGCATTGTGTTGATGGGATTAACCCAAGAGAAGCTGTGCTTGAAATTCAGCATGAAATTGTAAAATGGGCTACCCATCACAAGTGCATACAGGTTTGCAAGACTGGATCTTGTATATAGCAAGAATACAATCCCTTCATAGGACCAGAGATAGCTAAGTAATTTTTTTCATGGCTAATAATGGTAGAAACTGCAGTTAATACTTAACAGTAAAAGAAATCTCAGAGGAACACTGTCAGTTCAAAACAGCTGAGGATCTAGCTTTTTGACATTTCTTGTACTGTGTTATCAGAAATAATGTTTATTAGAGTATTTTTTTCTTGATGACTGATGGATTCCTGAGCTCCAGATATACTGAAAACAGGTATCTGTGGCTGCTCCTGATAGAACACATCTCAGCCTACTGTCTATAAATAAGGCCCCATAAATACACAGACATCTTCAGGAACAGTAAGTTCAATTATCTGCAACAGGACTTTAATATTTAGAGAGTTGAGTTCAATACCATATTAATACACAGGCTTCCTCTGAACTGTTCCATACTACAAACTGCACAATAGCATATGTCACCTACAGAGTCTTCCCAGTTTCTTTAATTCCTCCTGCCACCTTGCTTTCATGTGTTTCCTTCAGGGGAAAACTTGCACTTCTCTTTTTTCTTTCCTACTTCTTCCCTCAACAAGCTAATTAGCTCGCTTTGTATGTGATCTGTAATGAAAAAGTTAATAGCAGTAAATCCAGCAAGGGAAAGACATCTGTACCTGATGATAGGACTATTTGATGTCTCATTAAAGAAAAATATGACTTTTCACAACAAAAAGTATTTTCATTTATGGGGGAAAATAATGACTGTACCTAGCTCTGTGTTCTTGATACCACACACGCCCCATTGTCACTGACATTCCTCCAGACACCATACAGACCGCATGAAATTCCTTCCTCATTTAAAAATATGACAAAAATGAAATTGCAGTATCTGTGATTCTTTAAAAGTTATCACACAGACATATAAAAAGTGATATATATGTTAATTAATCTGAACACTCCGTAAAACCATAATCCCCTT